CTTAAGGTATGCGTGGTTCTTACGTACGGGCACTTAAAAGTTTTGGCGGAAGAATTTGTCACTGAGCAGCTCAGTTACTTTTAAAGAACGACCGTTAAGTGGAAGCTGTACATCTACTTTATGCAAAATTTATGGTGATTTATGCTAGTGACCGCAAAAAGGTAGGTGTAAAACAACAGCCATTCATGCAGTTAATGACCTGAGTACTTCAAACCCAGTGCAAAAACACATGATCGCATCGGTGAGTTCCAGCCTGGGTTCATTCCTATTCTCAAAATTGACACTGGGAAAAAAATTAGCAGTCTCTGACACGGCGCTTAAAACCTTATCAACCCAGCACCCCGGTCTTTGCGGCTCGAGCCCAAAACCAAAACCAAGTGCATATTGAGCGACTGGACTGCTAGTTTCAGTAACTGCTATTTCTACCAGTGCAAAATGTGAACTGCTATGTACCTATAAGCACATATGTCACGCTTTGAATCCGCTAATAAAATAACCAGTTCTGTCATTTTTCGTTTCTTTTTTTCCAGTAATAGAATGGTACTTGCTCACGTCTGAAACTTAAAATCATTATCAACTTTTTCTCAGCAACTCTGTGAAGTCTTAATCAATAGCAGAGTTGCCACCTAGTAGTTTTTGTTGAGAAGATTACCAGTATTAGGAGCCACTACCAGATTTTCGGCTCTTTTACAGAAAGTTAGGTTTTTGATTTGCCTTTCTGCGATGAAAATTCATTGGTTCGACTCCAGCAGCGAGGGACCAATATTTTATCATTTCACTGTTTCATTTCGATACTAAATGGTGCAAAGCAGCGAATCTTTGCCAACTCATTTCTAAGAAATTCTCGAAAGAGGGGGACAAAAATAACTTCCTGAGTAAGCAGCACTTTTGGTGCGTGCAATTTTCGAACTTCTTCTGAGTGCCATTGTCTTTTTTAAGGAGCGAATTCTGGGCGAAGTTAACTTTTTTGACTTTCTGTTTTTGAAATTATTGGCAAACCACGAAATGAAAAGAATCCAAATAGTCGAGTTGCAACTCTTTTTTTCCGACCAAACTACTTCAATGCGAATCGAAAAGAAAGCAACATATGCACCAAAACACTGGGGCATTTAGAACAAGTCTGTCATCATTTTAGGATGTCAAAGTGTCAGCCGGCAATTCTACATGACGACAACTTGGGGAGTTGAGAATGCGCTCTCAAAGATGTCTGCTGCAAGTCATTTGTCTGATTTCAGTGCTATTGTTCACTGCAGGCCAGCCATCCGCATGTATCTTGCGTTGTAAGGACAACAATGTTAGCTTTTACGAGTTCATTCCAACTTGTGCGGATACAGTACTCATTCGCCTAAGGGCGAAAGTTGGTTTTGTGCTTGTTACTGGTTGAATGCAAAGTGAATTTCATTTTTATGCATTTTTGTACATTTATTCAAACGCAGAAGCACATAAGAATGGCGCTCTTTTTATGTGTGGGTATGAGTGTATATGCGCATGTGTGCGTGTTTATGCGTGTGTATGCTTGAAGAACCAAGCCGTGGTACCACCTTCTCGTTTTAAAACCAACTTTCGCATAAGCCTGCGCTCCAAGCAGGGACGTTTTGAAGAAAACATGTAAATTTTTTGGTGAAAAAGGATTTTGAGAACTGGTCGAAACAGGACGCTGAAACTTTACAAGGATATTCTCCCTTCATTTATAGTCTAAAGATTTCAAATTCAGTTTTCATGCACACTTACATTACATCAAAGTTTGCTGTTGACGTCGTGCCATCTCCAGGACTAGCCAAAGAAAAGATAGGTGCTAGTTTGCGAAAATATTTATCATCCATTCGTATTCCGAAACCAAATTTTAAACTGCACCTCATCACAAGTTACAGCATGTCGAAAATACTTGCAGCAAAGTGACGATTTCAGGAATCAACAAGCTGGGAAGCTTAAATTTTGCAATTATGTTCTATGCCTATGTGCGGGTTGAAAAATTTAACTCCAGCTTAGACGTGTGCCTAGGCCTTGCGTTTAACTCAACAACAAGACTGATCAAGAAGCCGCAGTTTTGTGAGAAAGTTTGTTATTCATGTGAGAGTTCGAGAACATAAAATTAGTTTTTGCTTTCAAGTGTGTCCTGCACACGAATGCGCCGAATGATTGTATTGCAACAAATTCATTATCCTTCTGTTTAGGTAATAGATAAGCATGAAAGCAAAAATTTTTACATGGATGCTGGCTATCTAGTACGTAAAATCAGCTTTTACAAACACCTACATTTTGCGTACAGATGCGGTGAACATAGTCATCTACAGCTAAATTTCA